CCGCAGCCCGGCATCGCCTCAGCGCCGCAGCAAAAGGGCCCCAAATCCCCCCAGGAACGGGCAGGGAGGAGCTGCCGGCCAGGCTGGGACCCTCCTCCCCTGGCCCGGCTGCACCCTGGGCTCACACGAGACCGGGACGGGGGCAAACTGGAAGAACAACAAAATAACCACAACCCAAAAAACAAAGAAAAAAAAATCACCACACAAGCCCCAGAGTGCCTGGAAACTTCCTGTCTCTTTATTGCCCCTTTCCCACCCAAGCTCCACAGCCTGGGCCCAGCACCAGCAGGAAGCAGGCTCAGCTCCCCTGGCCTGGCCGACCAATGGCGCAGGATGAGGCCCCCATTGGGGCCGTCGCCCAGTGCTGGTGCTCTGCTGGGGACCCGAGTTCCTTCCTTAGGGCAGTCTCAGTGATGCCGCTGGGGTGAGGATCCTGCTCTGCCCCCCAGGCAGGCTTGGGCCCATCGGCGTCAGCTCGGCACAGCGCAGCTCCCGGTGCTGCCTCTGCTCAGCATCTCGCCTCACACGCTGCCCTGCCCCGAGCATCGGCCTTGCCCCAAAACTGTCCCCTGGAGCAGCTGCACCACCACCATCGCTGCCGCCTGCAGGTCTCAAGGGCTGTGGACAGTTGTTCTGCTCAAAAGGAGGAAAATAAGAGAAAAGAAAAATCCCCAAACCCAAACGTAAAGGTGTCTCAGTGCCGAAGGATGAGCTCTCCTCTTCCAGTGCTGCTGTAGAAGCCCTTGTTGCCGTCGGGGCTACGGGGCAGGTGAAGCACCTCGTCCCACCAGCCAAAGGGCTCAGGCACCCTCTTCACTTCCAGGGGATTCTCGGGAGGAAGTTTGGCATCAGGAGAGGAGCTGCTGCACCAGGGCGCCCAGGCACCCACCCCGCTCCCCCAGCCACAGCCGCGGGGGCTTTCGGTGCTGGAGCAGAGGCCGTAGCTGCTGCTGGTGCCCAAGCCTGACCCAAGCGGAGGGAAGACTTTGCTGGTGAGAAGCGATCCGGTGGTGTAGGCGTTGCTAAAATCGCTGGGCTTGAAGTCGCTGTCGGGCCAGGCGGGTGCCAAGGGGTCCTTGTTCAGGAGGGATGGCGACGTCAGGGCACCGTCCATCTTCAGAGAGCTGCAGAGCAGGGAGTCCCCGATGTCGGAGGGGAAGGTTGTGGTCGCTGCCTTTGCCTTCCAACCCAGCTGGTCCACCAGATCCTCCACTGCCTCCTTCTTGGCCCCGGGTTTCTTCTTGGAGCCCTTCCCACAGAGCCGGACCACCCTGATGCTCTCGCCACCCTGGTGGCTTTGGCGACTGAGGTCCTCAAAGGCCTTGCGGGCGCTTTCCAGGCTCTCGTACTCCACCAGAGCACAGCACTTGCTCAGCAGCTCAGGGAAGCGCGACGTGTATTTCCGCACATCTGAGGGCAGCTTGCGGCCTGGCCGCAGGATGCGTATGGAGGTGATGGCACCAAAGGGGGTGAACATCCGCGTGATGGTCTCAAGGAAATTCTTCTGGAGTGGTAGCAGCATGTCCTGCTCCTGGGGCAGCAGCTCCCAGGCCAGCAGAAGTTTGCTGGGAGGGACGCTCAGGAGGGACTCGGGGATGGGGACCCGCCGCCTCACTTTAGTGCCCTCCTCATTCACCTCCAGCAGCTCCGAGAACTGCAGGGCATAGAGCGTGAGCCGCCAGTCACGCGTCAGGTATTTCACCTGCGGGAGAGAGGGGGCCACCGTGTCCCTGTGAGTCTCCCCAGGCGGGGACCACCCTAAACCTGTCCTCCAGGCAGGCTGCAACCCCATCAGCCTGAAGTCACAGCAAGGCAATAGCCTCCTTTCCCATGAGCACCTCCGGGGTGCGCACAAGGTCCCCAGTGCCCCCCGGACCGCGACGACAAGCTGCAGCTTTCCTGTACATCACACCACCAGCTCTTCCCCGCAGATTTCAGTGAAGCAATGATCTCTCCCAGAGCAGCCCTGGGGGGATCATGGGCAGAAGAGTGAATCCAGCCCTGGGGTTGGTTTGAGGTCTGGTCACCCCTTCCCCAGCCACTCTCTCTGGCTGGAGAACTGCTGCAGCACATTGAAGGCAAAGAGCAGAGCCCAGCTCTGCACCATCAGCACTTTACCAGGACACAGACAGCCTGAGGGGAGCCTGGACCTCCCTGTACACCCCACCAGAGACAGCCAGAGCACACCCAGCTGCCCCAGCATGCTCCACATGACGGCCATTCCCCACCCCAGCCGGCCAGTGCCAAGGGCTGCTTACCTTCTTGAAGGATGTCAGCAGTTTGATGCTGATGAAACCCATCTTGTTCTTCTGGACATGTTTCAGGAGAAAAGCATCCTTGGCCAGATTCTCATCAGAGAGATAGAACTCCACCTGGGACACAATCCTCTGGACCAGCTGCGGGTCAGGCATGGAGTAGTGGCAGCCCAACAGATCATTCCCCAAAGCAACATTCGTGTCGCAGAGGCTCCTGGCAGAGCAGCAGGGACACAGGCATGAGTTGGTGGCCTTTGGGACACGCAGCACTACCCGGTCCCAGCCACAACAGTGCAGATGGCAGAGACACTGTTGAGGCCCAGGACCATCAGCTTCACCCTGGCTACAGGGGAGCAACACCAGCCTGCACACTGTGAGCCTCCCAGGGCTGGGACATGAAACTGGACCCATCCCAGACAAGGGACATGTTCCCTCAGGGACATACAGGAGGGAAAATCAGGACTCAACCCTCACACACATCCAAGCAGCCACATACCCATCAAAGCTCTTCAAGAAATCCTTCTGGCTGAGCAGGGCAAAGGAGCGGCTCCGTGGTGAGAGGAGATGCAGTGCTGGGAAGGAATTGCTTTGCACTGGCAGAGGAGTGCTGCAGCTGGATGGGGAACTGAGCCCCAGGGCCACCCCAGAGCCACGTGAGGACATCATCCTTCATCTGGGACAGGAGAAGAACAGTGCTGGGCCACATCCTGACCGTGGGCAGAGCCCTGCTTTGGGCTGTAGCCCCCCCACCCTCAGCCCAGGGAGAGGGGAGCAGAGGCAGCTCCTTGCTGTGCTCTTACCTGCTTGGCAATGCTGGGAAGGGCAGAAAATCCCAGCACTACATCCTAGAGCCCCGCCAGCAGCAGGCCCCAATCCTTCCCACCGCCAAATTAAGACGCCTAGATACGAAAGGAAAAGAAAGGAAAAGAAAGAAAGAAAAAGCCCTAAGAGCAAGTAGGCTGCTGGTTTATAAGAACAGCCACACAGGAAGAGCCCCAGAGGGTGGTCACGGACCTGCCCCAGCAAGACCCACCAGGCTCCAGGTGAAACCAGTTTGCAGGTTAAATGGTCCCAGCTGAGCCCTGGGAGCAGCTGGGCTCGTCCTGTAGCGAGTGTGGAGCTTGGAAAGGCCAGCAGGGGAGGAGCAGAGGCAGCAGTACTGGTACCAGTGATACTTGTGATACTCAGCGGGGCAGTGAACTGCTGTCATGAGGCATCTCAGTCTGTGCCTCAGTTTCTCTGTCTCGCACAGGACAGTAACAGTCACATGGAGGTGGAGGGAGGGCTCAGGCCAGGGCACTGTTTGGGCAGCTGGGGCTGCCTGCTGGCGAGCAAAGGTCCTTCTTCCTGCAGAAATACCCCCCACCCCAGTGAGGGGCAGCAGAAGAGCCCCAAGAAGGGGGTGAAGCTCAGGGAAGGGCGTGGGCCCCCTGGGAGGGGGTGACACTGCAGGGCAGGACAGTCCATGGCTTCAGTACGGGATGGAGAAGGAGGTCCAGGATGAAACTCATCCCCGTTGCTTGTGCCCCACGTTGGGCAGCAGCTGGAGGGCAAGGGAGGTGAGGACACAGGGGAGCAGCGGGGGTGATGTCAGGGTGGGGGGGGCTGTGGAGGGGCTGCGAACCAGAGCTGCTGTCTGGAGAGGTCAAACCTGGGAGCCTGGCCTGGCCAACCCTGACCTGGGGTTTAGCTGACATTTGTCTGTGCCCTGTGGCCACAAAGACTGACCAAAGGGCTCATCACACCTCCACCTTGAGTCCCCCTGCCCCAGCCACGCGGGGCTGCTCCCCATGCCCCCCCGGGCTGTGCCGCTCTGTCCAGCTCGAAGCTCATCCCTGTGGGACGAGTCACAGGGACCGACAACCCCAAAGCGCTCCCGGGATGTCACACTCCCCTGGTTTCCCTGGGGTTTTGGTGTCACCACCCCACCCCTGCCACCCCCACCTCCAGCTTTCTCTGCTGGTTGGGAACTGGGTGACGGTGAGATGGTGGGTGGAAGAGAAAGTCCTGGGATGGGAGAGGTGGCCAAGAGCTGCCCGGCACGGGAGCTGGGAGCAGCCGCAGGCCCTGAAGGGTGGTGGCACTTGGTGACGGGTGACAACGAGGACACACATCACCTGAATCTGCCCAGGAGGCAGATCCACCACCAGCCAGGACACCCCAGGGCTAAACCCACCACCACCGTCCTGAGTTGTCTCTCCCCTGCAATCACACGCATTGCGTGGTGACGGTGCTGCAACCCACCCCTCGCCCATGCGTGGGTGCTGCCTGTCCCTGTCCCTGTCCCTGTCCCTGTCCCTGTCCCGGGGCTGCGCGGGCAGCCCGGCCTCCCCCAGCCTCCCCCGGGGTCCCACCGCGGGGCCCGGCAGCTCCCCACCCTGCCAGCCCAGCGCCCAACTCCCCGCAGGGATTTGCCCATCTGGGAGGGGCGATGGGGCCGGAGGCAAAGCAGAGCTGGGGGGGTTTAACGGGATCATTTTGAGCTGCGCTTTGCCTTCCCCAGGCTCGGGGTCAGGAGCTGCTGCTCGGCCCCCCAGGGAGCCAGGGGGAAATAACCCAGCTCCAGCCTGAGCCTCAGGATGCGAAGGGGCTCAGGCGGGTCCAGCCGTCCCTGCAAGACTGGGCACAACCCGGAGGGAGAGGGAGGCAAAGCCACGGGGGAAGAGGGGCTGAGGCGAAACTTCCCCTTCCCGAGGGGTCAGAGCAGGAATGATCCCTCCCTTGTCACATCCCTGTCCCGCTGCTCCCATCCTCCACAATTTGTTTGGAAGTGTAATTAGAAAATGCTTCTCGTGGCCCCGTGCTCAGCAGCAGCCCGACCTTTCAGCCTCTTCTCCCCTCCACGAACGCTGGTGTGATGGGCACGTTACCCCCACAAACCGGCCGCTGTTTCGTGGTGACTCTGAATTCCTGCAGACACCAGATCCCTGCCCCAAAACTGCTTTAATCAGACCGCACCGGGCAGCTCCTGCCTCTCCCCCCCCCCGACACCGCAGCGTCTGCCTGACATCTCCTTTCAGCCGTTAAAGAAAAAAAAACGGGACCACAACAATTATTGTACAGGCCTGAGCATTCGATATATGTTTATTGCTATTCGGGTTTAGCTGGGAATTTTGTGCATGTCGGGTTCAGGTGGTTATCCAGACTCCTTGCACAGTGCTGCAGAGCTCCAGAGCATCTCATTCGCACGCCTGTGGTAAGCGGAAGGTGGCTGGGTTGGGTTGGAAGCGGCTGCGAAGAAGAGCCGATGCACCAGCTGAAGTTAACGTCACACTTAGTGGGAGCAGGGGAGTTTAAGACTTTGTTGCTCAGTTGGTTTTTTTTAGACAATCTTGTCTCATCAGCAGGATCTCGAGCGCGGACTCTGACCCTGGGAGTATTCATTGTCGTTATTTACAGATAAATCCAGCTTTCTCACTTGTCTCCTGCTACTTCAATATGAGACATATACAGACAAACATCACCCTGACAGACAACAGCACGGGACAGTAAGAGGGAAAGATGTGCCACTACACACACTTTCTTTTTTACTTTCAATTAGCAATATTTTTTAAAGTGTCACAGCTACCTTAGTACCATTTGGAATGAGTAAATAATATATTTGGATAGAGTACACTCTGATATGCAAATGTACACGAGACCCCTGGAAAAGCTCACATCAAATACTGTATCATTAGAAATAATAATAATAATAATAATAATAAAAGCTATTTATGACACGGCCTTTATTCACAGAAAGATTTGCCCCAGGGCTTTTTGTTTTTGCACCTTGGCTTGATGACAGGTTCCACCCCCCTCCTCTGCCCTGTAGTCCACATCAGCCCAGACCCCACAGCACATGGAAAAGGAAAAAAAAAACAAACCCTACTGGGGCAGAAGCTCCCCCAGCTCAGCCCTACGGGAGCCACCACCACAACGATGCTGGAGAAGGCGAAGCAATTCAGCAAGGGGAAACACCCCCGTAGTGTTGAGCATCCCCGGGGCCGTGACAGCCCCGCGCTGCCACCTGGGACGGGCTGTTTGATCAGAGCCCGAGCTGCGCCGGCTGGCCCGGAGCGGGGGGAAGCGGGCACGCCGGCCCACCCTAAGGCACTGCAGTCACACACCCTCGCCCGTGCTCCAGACGCAGCCCCGCAGGCAGCTGCACCCCACCTTCAACATTTTAGCAGGACATCAGCGAGAATTTTACAAAACCCAGGACGCGGGACCAGTTCCCCTCTGCCTGGGTACCCTGGCGAGGCTGAGGATCGCCCTGAGATCGTCCACGGGCATCAGAGCACAGGGGGGCAACGAACACACGTTGCGACCAGCTGCCGCTTCCTCAGAGTCCTTTGGTATCATGAGTTGGCCTGACAGTGTCCCAGGAGCATTCGCGGAGCAGCGATGAAACGCCAGGCTGGGGAGACACAGGAGCAGCTGGGAACGCTCGTCCCACAGTCCCAGAACGTGGACGTGTCAGTCCCAGAGCCCGCACGCGCACCACTCCACCCGGACCAGCCTGGAACCCTCTCCCCAGGCGGGTACAAGAGAGACCTGCTGTCCTGCGCTCCCCGGTACGAGCGATTTGGCAAAGTCAGAGCCAGGACAGCTTGTCTCGAAAGGCTGCAGGAGAAGGGTCAGATAATTTTCCTTCTTCTTGGGCACTGATTGGTTCAAGTTTGTATCACAGTGAAGTCTGAGAAGTGGGGAAGAAACCCAAACCACCTTCCCTGAAAGAGAAAGCCTCGTTGGCCCGGCTCGCTGGGGCTGGAGAGGAGGACAGCCTCTCCTAGCCAGGCACATCCGACCCGGTGCTGACCACGGAGGCTTCCATCGCTCGGGAGCAGACGTTGGACCTCCGCCCTCTCACGCTGGAGGAGAGCAGGCGGCCACACCAGCCCTGTCCCACCACCCACCCAAGCTCACCCCCGGAGCCCATCCTCAAACACAAGTAAACATAAAGAGAAACTAAGAGGCACTAATAACGCAGATACGGGGAGGCTCAGGCTTGCGACCGTCAAACCTGGCTCCGGATGTCTTCGTCCAGCTGGAGAAAAGCCGAGTCCCTGTTTCAGATCTCCTGCAGCGAGTGGCCGGGGTCGGTGCGTTCCCTTTTCACCAGCGGCTCCCCCAGGCGCCGGGAGTCCGTGTCCACCTCGCTGCCCAGGTCACTAATGTCATCTGCAAAGGACAGGTCTCAGCATGAGAGTGGCGACCGGAGGGGAAGAAGGTCTTTTTCCCAACAGAGCAGGGTGGAAGAGTCAGCACGAGGTTCCCCCTCCCACAGCGACTCAACCCTGACCCAGCAGGACTTCCCTTGAGGGAGAGGAGGTACCTTTGTCCAGCAGTGCTGGGGACAGGGATGTGAGGTCACCAAACTGAAAGAAAAAGGAGTTTCAAGGTAAGTGAGGCTTACTGGAGACCGAAGGTGCCAGATCTGCAAGTTGGCATCTGTTTCAAAGCAATTCTAACAAGCAGCTTAAATGCTCAGGAGAACCCACAAGCATCAGCAGTGCTGGTGGCGAAGAGCAGAAAGCAAAACCAACCCCGTGGTTTGGGGAAAAGTCTGTTGCTGTCATTAAAACCTCCGGGCAAACACCACTCACAACAATCCAGGGCAGGATCGAGCTCTGGAATGAAGGGAGAAATTTTTTGATCTCCCAAGTTTAGGCCAAGTGCTGCCG